GACTCAAATCAAATTTAGGTCTCACCTCTAATGACCTCTAAATTCAGACCAGAACTGGTCTGATTTTATCAATGTGAGTTGTAATATGCAGTGAAGACGAGGACGACTATTGAAACCTTCTAAATTAGCAAAGACTACAGTTGTATTTGCAGTCAGTGGAAATGTTTTTAAATATGTTTTTATTGTGAGCTGCTTAAAATATATTAATGCAACATTGGAATATTTCCTTATTTGGCTAAATTTTCTACTTTCCTTAATTTACAATAAGAGACTCAAAGTTAAATTTTTATTGCATTTAATTTAACTACTTTTATCTCTGGTCTCAAACTTACTCTAACTGGCCTATGACATTTTTTTTTATTTTTTTTTACCAAACCATCTTTAAAGATTTCTCAAGATTTAGAATAGATTCTTTTTGATCCAAGTGTATAAGTATTGGCTGAAATAAACAAGTTTGAAATACCAGGAATTTCCTTTAAATGGTTTATTCTATGGACATGAAGATTTAATGTACACTAACCTGCTTCTGTAAGAAGTAAAATAAAATAGAATAATGTGGAAAAAAACTGGCAACTGGTTTGATATTAAAGCATGCAGTCAAACAGTGACTGTGCGGCAAATCTATGTGATTATTTCTTATCTGCAAAATATTGTTTGAGATTTGGTGTCAATTATCATTAATTTTAATTATTTAATAAATTTGAAAAATCATTATCAAGAAATTATTTAGTGATAATGTTTTTCAATTGCATTGATCTATTGATGATGAAGCTGTAGGAGAGCTTTACTTACCCATGGGTGCAGAAAAACAAGCCATCTGGGGCGCTAAATCAGAGGAGATAACACTTTTAGTCTGACATTGTGGAAACTTTCCTGAATACCAATCTAAACACCCTCTAAATGGACTCAAATCAAATTTAGGTCTCACCTCTAATGACCTCTAAAATCAGACCAGAACTGGTCTGATTTTATCAATGTGAGTCATATTATCATAGCATTCAATTTTAACTACTTTTATCTCCAGTCAAACTTTCTCTAACTGGCCTATGACATTTTGTTTTAGTAAAGCATCTTTAAAGATTTCTCAAGATTTAGAATAGATTATTTTTGATCCAATCGGATCCAGTTTGTCCTAATACTGGATTGTTGATTTTACCTGAATTCCATGAGTGTATGGTTATGCAACATATAGATACTAGTATTATAATAACATTACACCAAAAAAACACTCTAAATAAAGTAATGGTAGTTAATGGGACAAGTAAGGAGAATGGATAATGTAGTTTTTAAAATCAATCTTTGGTTATATATGAAACATTTGGTCCCTGAGACAACAACTTCATATTATTATGAGTAGTAGTGAAACCGATTCATTTATATAATGATCATGTTTTTCAATTTGGGTGCTGCTTTATTGATGAAACAGTAGCAGGGTTACTGGCTTGAAATTAAAGCATGCAGTCAAACAGTGTATGTGCAGCAAATCTATGTGATTATTTCTTATCTGCAAAATATTGTTTGAGATTTGTCAATTATCATTAATGGTAAGTGATCATTTAATAAATGTGAAAAACATCATCAATAAATTATTTATTGATAATGTTTTTCAATTGCATTGATGAAGCTGTATGAGAGCTTTACTTACCCATGCGTGCGGAATATAAACATTTCATCATGGGCGCTAAATCAGAGGAGATAAGACTTTTAGTCTGACATTGTGAATACATCCCTGAATACCAATCTAAACACCCTCTAGATGGACTGAAATCAAATTTAGGTCTCACCTCTAATGACCTCTAAATTCCGACCAGAACTGGTCTGATTTTATCAATGTGAGTTGTAATATGCAGTGAACACGAGGACGACTGTTGAAACCTTCTAAATTAGCAAAGACTACAGTTGTATTTGCAGTTGTATTTTTGTGAGCAGCTAAAAACATATTAATGCAACTTTGGAATATTTCTTAATTTGGCTAAATGTTCTATTTTTATCAATATACAACAAGAGACACAATCCAGATTGAAGGTAATATTTCTCAAAAAAAAAAAATAGCTGTATTTAAAAAAAAAACGTTTTATTTTCATTGCAATCAATTTTATCTACTATTATCTCTGGTCAAACTAACTCTAACTGGCCTATGACAGTTTTTTGTAGTAAACTATCTTTTAAGATTCCAAATTAGTAACTAAATAAATATGAAAATAAAATAAGTGTTGGGGGTGATCCCAAATGATTAAGTGTGTAAATGGAGATAAATGGCAAAAAAAAAAACTAATCTTGAAATAAAATATTTGGAAATCTTCTTAATCAAAAAAGGTTTTAAGAAGAACTTTGTAGTTTCCTTAGAATATGTAAAACAAGAAATTCTAAGAAAGCAGCACAGTAACTTCTGAAACCTTTATTGATGAAGCTTTGCAAAATATTATTCTGGATTGCATTTTTTTCAGTTTACATAATATGTACTTTGCTTAAAACAATAATGAAAAATAATAACTCCATATTGTAACAAATAACAGCTGAAAAACCGAAAAAAGATGAAGTTCTAATCCAAGCAGTTAGAGGTAACAATGCTAATAAATTGTGAGTACAATGTAAATCAATGTCATCTATTTCATATTTCATATAAAAATCTCTGAAAGTGTTTCAAAGAAAAAATAATACTAAAGTGAAAAGGTTAAATACAAATGATAAAACCTGGAAAATCTGACTTGATCACCTCCTGCCCTCCCCACCTCACTTCCCCTTTCAGGTCAATTTTCTGTTTATAATTCATGCTAAGAACAAAATATGAAACTTTATCATCTTAACCTGCTAAATGCTGAAAAAATATATTGAAAAATATCACTCACCTCCATAGAAAGGTGTTGGGATAATTCTGCGCTGTAGAGGTCCTTGAACAGACTCTGGGCTATCTTTGTTTATAGCAATGAAGGCAGTAAAGGAGCTGCTCACTCCTGATTGGACACTGAGCTCCACCACCTTTTTTTTTATTTCTTCATCTTGCTGTCCATTGTGTTTCCTTTTTGACTCCAGGGAGCAAATCACGGTGCGAGCAGCCAACCTGTGAACCGTTAACCTGCAGACGGAAAGGAGAGAGATCTTAAGATAGAGCTCAAACAATTTGTAACTTGTTTGTAACTAATCAACTATTTTTTTTACTGACTATCTGATTTTTTTATTTAAGGAGGTGGGACTATTTTCTTGATTTCTGTAGAAAAATAATGACCACAGATTAAAAACAAAGAAACCAGGCCAATCATACCCTTCTGTGGGATTTTATCATCACCCAAATTAAAGACCACCATGAGCAAAACTAAGGCCTCATCCACACAGACACTGGGTGTAACTGCAAATGTATTTTGTTGGTTAAGCACTGCATCAAAATGGTACCTTTAAACATAATGCCTGCGGCTGGCTAGCTCAAGTGGTAAGTCACCCGTGCTTCATACTATATAGCTACTGCCTTAAACAACAATCTGAAGGAGTTTTACCCAGAGTCCTCTGCAGGTTTTAGGCTGAAGTGGAGCTGGTTCTTTGACTGATGACCTGCCAAGCTAAACTTCACCGTCACACTGCCCTCTGTTGTCTCTGAACTCTAAAAAAATGATTTAATTCACAAAACATGAAAAAAATAACTTTAAACAAATCCAAGTTTTATGATATATTTCATATCTATGCAGTAAAGACAAGTGACACTTAATCAAGAGAGTCAGCAGTGAATCTACCTGTCCTGTAAGTTGAGCATAAATCAGTGACCTCTGACCCTGAAAGATTGTTGTAATGGGAGGAGAGAGAATGGTGGCCGACACTCCCTTTGGTAAATCCCAAGAGACAGAAATATCCTCCACCGCAGGCTGCAGAGCAAACCTGAGTGACTGCATCACCTGTGGTTTAAAAGATAGTTGTGAAATGATTTATTGTAACATAATAATTTTTTAATTGATACTCAGATGTTTTTCTTACCTTTGGCTGCATCCTGTCAGTCCCAGTGATGAACTGAGCGTGACCTCCTCCCTCTTTGGCCATCCCGTTGATGAGAGCAGAGCTGGCTCCTTCTCCGATCCCAAAGGAGAAACATCTGCAATTTAAGATTTGATTTTAAACTCAATATAACATGAGAACCTGATCCAGACTGGCAACAAATGTGTTTATGGTTTCACCTGTGGGAGCCTGAATTCTTCTTAACAAGGTCGATAACTTCTTTGGTGTTTCCCACTTCTCCATCAGTGAAGACAAACAGCTGATGGAGGAGAAAACACACAATGTTACACAGTGTCAGATTTAAACAGGACCTAGAAGTCTTTAGAATAATCTGTCAAAGAGGAGTGCATCTCTGATGTTTTAGTAGAACAAATGTTTTTAACATGGATGAAGAGCAACAAAAGCTCTGAAATATATGAGCGTCAAAGTAAACTGGTAAGATAAACATTGAATGAAATGGTGAAGTAGAAGTTACTTTAGATAAAAGTGCTAAAGTTGAATGGCTAGAGCAATCTTGTTGGTGCAATTAAGTGTATTTAATTTACCTGTCGAGGGTGTGAAGGAATGCAGGGCTGGCTATAAATGTGTTGGAGAGGTTGAAGAATCTCTGTTCCTCCAAGATCGTCCTCCATCTTTTCAACCTTCTTCAGAGCCTCCTCCATAGTCATCTCATTGTATTCCACGCTCTTACTGTCATGGAAAACAACACAGGACATGTTTAAATTAAAACTTATTAAAAAAAAAAGTTAACTCTCTATGGCACAAAGACAAGTCTATCTGACGTCTTTTTCAGCTGACCTTTGCAAGTCTTATTGATACGGAATTGGGTCCAGAGACAATGTCTTTGTTCCAACGTCTAACCACACACATTACATTTAGATATAGAAAGGTCCACTAAACCAAGTGCAAATTTGGTCACTGCCCCCTGCATATACATGTCTATAAGGCAGCTTTTCTAGGTTGACTGGAAGGAAAGGACCAACAGATTCTGGTTCCAAACATGCAAATTCAGCAGGAAGAACAGGAAATACAAGACTTTGTTATGGGCCAAGCTATAAAGCTTCAACCTCAACGCCAATTCTGACATTTTGAATTTAAAAAGCTTCCTGGATGGGAAGCGAAAGATCTTCAAATTGGAAGCAAAGTATAGTGGATTGTTTTTCAGCTTTTTTAAAATTACTCTCTGGATGTTGTCAGGCTGTCGTGGCTGACAAGACTCTTCATCATTGCGTTGGGGACATTGCACCTAGACTGGAAGACTGGGGTGGTGTTTCCCCTGCATAAGAAGGGGCACCGGAGGGTGTGTTCAAAACAATAGTGGAGATTTCTTAGCTTCCCCTGGAAGACATATGCCAGGGTTCTGGAAAGGAGAGTCTGACTAATAGTCGAGCTTCAGCTTCAGGAGGAGCAGTGTGTTTTTTGTCCTTACAAGAGGGATATTTCCCTAACCTATCCACTTGGACACAACAGTTTTGGCGGCGAAGATAGCTAGCAGAGATAAATGACTTTTTGAAAACACATTTTGTGCCAAAGACTAATTTTATCGCAGAAATATACAAGTTTAATACAAGAAACATGCAAGATGACAAGTCCATACAGTAAGTGAGTACATAGCAAGTTTAATGAAGCCAAAAGTCATAGGTTTGGAGCATTGTGACCTCTTGAGTTGAGCATATACTAAGGACCTCACACTAGGAGCAGCATATGATGTGGGACTAGCTCATGAGGTCTCCATACAGAAGTCCCAGAAAACATTAAAAGTGAATATTATCTCCAAGACAAGCACAAGTAAGAAAGAAGACTGTGGTAAGCCATGCTAATAGATGTGCAGGCTATGGACAGATTGCTGATTGAGTAAGAAGAAAGAACACATTGCAAAAGCCAGCAGATCCAAACAAGACAGAGAGAAGGAAATACCTTCTATTCCTTCAAACAGTGGTGATGACAAATACGTATTAGATTTTACTCACGGAAAGATGTGTTCAAAGGTGGATCCAAAACTGTAAATATTGAAGTAGCACCCCATGGGTAGGCTTTTCAGAAGAAGCAGCAAAGTGTCCTAGAGAAAGAAAATGTCAAGAACAGTACATTTTTTTTTATTTCAACTAGGGATGTGAATCATTTTTGTGGCAGACAGTGGTAGGTTAAACTTGAAAAGAATGTCATTTAAAAGGAAAAGAAGTAAACTGAACAGATTATACTAAAAAAAACATGAGGTTATTGAAGAATTGCTCTTCTGTAGTTATGTAGCGATACCCCAAAAAACTGATTTTTTGGGGGGATTTACTTTTCAAAAGAAGGCAGTGATGCATCAAATAAATATATTTTTTATCACAAACTTATTACAGAAATCATTTTGAAAGGGTTATAATCATCACATGAATATTTGAATAAATACCCTGGCGCTGCTAATGCGAGTTTCCTGCGGTGTTTTTTGATTCATGGGACAACCCATGCTTCCAGATCGATCAACCAAGAACACAAACTCTCCACATGAGGTGAGTGAGGACATCACAGATTGGGGGAACTCGGGGTACAAGCTCACCATCACCACTGGATCCCCCATCAGAGAACCTGAACATGATGGGAAAGAAAAGTCAGAAAGGGTTCTCTCTGTGTTTCCAACATTTAAAGAAGAAGTAACACATTAAAGGGCCTTCATGATGAAAAATTGCCCATTTTGAACTTTTAACCATGTAACGTTATTCCTTATATAATATCATGGATAAAGTGGTATTTCTCTTGATTTGTGCATCTCTGAGTAATCCTCACAAGTTCTGCTGTCTGAATAGCATCTCCCTCAATACTGTGAAAATGAGTGGATTAGGGGAAACCACATAAGGATGTCTCCTGCCTTAACCACGCTGTGCCTACATTGTAAGCAAGCTACCACTTTCTGTGATTAAGGAGGGCTGATGTGAGGCAAAGTGGGATGACGACAGTTCAAAGTTGAAAAAGGGGCTCTTTTACTAGCTAATCGCCGAAGACTTTTCAACTGTTTTGTTTTTTTAGCTAATGTGTAAGTAATTAAAATCTATTTTTTAGCCTCGAGAGGTTTTCTACTTTGGTCAGCCTTCAGAAGTCAGACTTCACTTTGTGGGAAATTGTTTTTCTTTGGGGTTGGAAGAAAACAAATGCATATTAAAGCATATCAATAGTCCATAGTGCAAAAGGCATATATGAACTAATCTGTTCTCACCAGGTTTGGCAGAAGCCTGTCCTGCCTCCACCACAGCAGTGGGCTGGTGGGCATCTTTGTAATAAATCAGCAGTTCAATGTCTCTGTCAAACTTGTGTCCTGCAGCCAACTTGACCTGCAGTTCAAGAACACAAATAACAGAAATAAACATTTCATCTTGTTTG